TAATTAATTATGACCTATTATTTTGGAGTTTGTATTGACAGGTACTTTTATTGTACTTTAACGTATGTCAAAGTATTGATAAATGCTTTCTGAATTGTCATTAATTGTTACAGAGCCGTCTGTTTAAAACAGTACAACAACTAACGCCGAAGATGGTACCCAACTCCGTTCGAGCAGTAGCACATTGTGCTGAAGCATGTTTAGCAGCAGGTGGTGGAAATTTTGAACAATTCGTTTGTCATAATTGTTTATTAAATGATTAAAAATTGAAAATTTTTATTACTTTTGGATATTTAAAACTGCCGTATCTCGAAAAAAATCGGTGTGATTGAAAAATGGTAAAGACATTTTTTATGACCTTATCTAGGTTTACATGATCCCATAGTCCGTGTCTGCGAATTTCGTAACAAGCTGCATATTTATTTTCCTAACATACACACCTAGTTACAATGAAACCATGGATGAATGAAGATAACACACAGACATAAGAAATGTATACAGTGTGGCACAAAAAGACTAGAAATCCCGATTTCAGGATTGGGTCTTATCAAAAAAAGAATAACATATCTAGAAACTAATATACTTACTGGTAACCTTGGATCAAACCTTAATCTTAAGTTTCAAGGTCAAACCAAGGTCAACTTTAAATGGACCACCTTTAATTATTGACAGCAATTGATAAAAGGCCAAATTTTACTTCCCAATATGGTGTTAGAACATTTTTGCTGTTTATTCTTGTAGGTCACTTGGAGGTCAAACAAAAATTTTGTTTGAAACATTCTCCACAATTCGAGGTATTCGTATCCCATATTCCCATACTCGCTCGATTGCTGACATAAAAAGTGAGATGTCCTATATATTTTCAAGTTGATCTTGGTCTGATATTGTAAATTGAGGTGAAGGTCAATGTTGCCATCGAGTTTGTAATTCGAAATTATACGTATTTTGTTTGGGTTGAAACATTTTCCTGCACAAATCGATCTTGTTGAATTCAGTGAAAAATGAGTTTGACCTACAAACGACCTTCAAGGACATTGTAAATTGAGGTGAAGGTCAATGTTGCCATCGAATTTGTAATTCGAAATTATACGTATTTTGTTTGGTTTGAAACATTTTCCTGCACAAGTAGATCTTGTTTGAATTCAGTGAAAAATGAGTTTGACCTACAAACGACCTTCAAGGACATTGTAAATTAAGGTGAAGGTCAATGTTGCCATCGAATTTGTAATTCGAAATTATACGTATTTTGTTTGGTTTGAAACATTTTCCTGCACAAATCGATCTTGTTGAATTCAGTGAAAAATTAGTTTGACCTACAAACGACCTTCAAGGACATTGTAAATTGAGGTGAAGGTCAATGTTGCCATCGAATTTGTAATTCGAAATTATACGTATTTTGTTTGGTTTGAAACATTTTCCTGCACAAGTCGATCTTGTTGAATTCAATGAAAAATGAGTTTGACCTACAAACGACCTTCAAGGACATATCGGAAAAATATAGGTAAACAAAGAGTAAATACATACACAAAAGATATAAAAGGTATAAAAGGACCATTGACGATCACAGCCCCACAAAAAAAGTGGCATATCCGAAAGACGAGACCCTAATATCTATATGTTTTTGGGGTCACTGAATCCGAATTCGGGGTCCGTTTGACCCGATTAGCTCTGATTGAAGGTCAGTTCAAGGTATAAAATCAAATGTCAACAAAGTAAACCCATATATCTGTATATTTTTGGGGTTGCTGACTCCAAATATGGTGTTAGTTTGACAAAATCAGATCTGGTTTAAGGTCAGTTCAAAGTCAAATGTAGAGAATCAATTGCCAGTAATGTAAACAAATATGTCTATACGTTTTTGGGGTCGCTGAAGCCGAATCCGTCGTCTGCTAAGTACCTACCTTCAATTTATAAACTTAAAACGCTCAAGCATTTATCCGTATTAAAATTTGAGTACTTCTTTGAGTACGCACAAGCATTCGTGTATAATTGGTCTTCCTACTTGGAATAAGAATATATGTAATGCAGTTGGTTCATTCATCATATAGACAATTTTGAATTTTGCGAGTGGGTATGCATTCTAATGGTATTATAATCAAGAGGGCTATTGTATTAAATAAAAAAGAAATCTTTTTTTAATTTTTCCATATTTTCCATATAGTCACGAGACTGACAGTGCTATAACTGTGATCCATCCTTGAAGTTTGGTTCAGAAAGTACTTTATAAAATATAAGGGTATTTATAAGGTATAGTAAGGGTAAGGGTATTATAGTAAGGGTATAGTATTTATAAATTTTCAAAATTTGTCAACCTCCTAAACTTTTATGTGACGACGCTACCAATTTGTCGATACTATAAGATAATTTGTTGTAGGTTATGCCTCAATATTTGACTTCTGTAACTCTTGACAACTGCTCATTATTCATTTTATATAAGAAAGTAGTAATACTTTTATTTCTGATAAGACCCATAACAAAATATTTTTTATATCAAGGGTCAACCTTACTCCAAGTATATTCTGATTAATATCATGTTGCAACAATTTGCCTACAATCATATACACATATTATAAATTGTCCTAAATATGTTTACATCACCCTCAAAGGAAAATATTATTTGGTAGGTCATTAATGAAATATAAAAATAATGAAGGCCCTAAATTTGATCCCTGAGGCTCTTGAATAGGTTTTATATTCACTAAACCGTTTTTGACAAATAAGAAGCGGTTTTGTAGATGTGATGTTAATAAATTAAAAGAGATTCCAAGTAGTCCCTAGTAGCTTAATTTCTTAATTATTCTTCGAAATATTTATACTGTACTTATTGAAAACATTATTGTTTAAATTCCTAGCGACTATTTTACATTTACAGGTGGAATTCTTAGTATTTTATACAGTTTAATATGGATAACGATAAAGATGTTGAAACACTTTTGTTAGCTGTTCAATGCTTGCTTGAGTTTTTAATACTGTTTAATTTCAAAGCTTGCTTAGTCCTCGTAACGTTCGCAATAAACGGTATTACTTTAAACAACGGAAACGGAAGACTTGCCACACTTACAAAATTATTATTCCATACCCGTAATGGGTGTTGGGAGCATTTAAAATACTTCTCTTATGAGTTTTTCAGGCACGTTTCACTAATTAGTGTCTAGTTGAACTTTGTGTAATAAATAATTAGTTAGGAACTTACATAGTTATGTTTCTTAATATAGAAAATAGTTTCTTACTGGTGTCCACTAAGATCTCTAATGAATTTGTCACCTCACACTATAAGTTCTAATCAGCAAAATCGTGTTGAAATTTTTGCAAATATTAAATATTATATAATTTTCTCCTAAAGTTCTCCTTATTTGCTTGATATGAGGAAACAACTTGTCAATATACGACTTTTTTTTCTCATTTTAATTGTGACATTTTTTTTACACTGCCAAGTTAGAACAAACTCACCCAGTTGCTACTTGTGTAATATTACCAATGCTCCAGATTGTCATGTATAGATTTTTTTTAGCTAGACTAATAGGTAAATGTTTTTTATTCGTAAATTTTATTATTTGGCAATATCTGAAGGTTTGTTTTTAATTTTTTTTCTCTTTTTACTCGACCTTTAGTCTCTACAAAAAAACTTGTATAATACACTGAGAAAAAGGCGTCCTATTCTCAATGATATACCATTTAAGTCACTCCAAATATCCATACAATGATTTCATGATAAAAATTGATGAAACAATAATTGATTTTTATTTGTGAGGGTAAGTTTTGAAAATCCCCTCGGGTGTACCAGTGGCGGCTGGTCAGGTGACGCAAGTGACGTACCTCTTCACCTAAAATTTCCGTTTCGTTGTGCAATTTAAAATTGTTTTTAATTTTATGTAAATTTTAGAATTTAGGTATAATTCTATATTGAAAATGTATTGTGATTGTTTGTTTAATACGCAGAAATAAACAAAATAATTGCACGTTGAACGCCTTCTAAAAAAACATTGCCTTCGTTGAGCGCGAACATCAACCTCGTACCATACGTTTAGCATAAGTAAGTGACGCGGATCGAAATCAGTCTGTATTCCGCTTCTGTTCGAAGCGTTATTTACGGCGGTTGTCACGGCAACGAGGCGGCCAACATGGGAGAAAATTACAACTAAAAATTTCCAGATTCATTTAAAGCCGTTTGACCTTGGAAATTTGAAAAATTTCGCATGCGACGCTTTTTTTTTTCTTTTTAGTTAATGAATGAATATGCTGCACCTATTCTCAATGCCACTGGGGTCTACCCATTGCCTCGTGGACTATGTTACAACCCTTTGATGGACACACAGAACAGATCTGCTGCAACAGGTTTCGAACCAATAGCTGAATACCTAAATCAATCCGGTATAATACTTCATTAGCGCTTTTGTCCCCTCGACTAATGCAACTCCTATTACTGCGTCACTACACTGTAGAACATAACTTGACCTAATCGACTTGAAGCAAAATCATGTTGATTTAATATTATATTAATGCACATTATATGCTGGCCTAAAATTGGTAACTGCACTACATCAGAACTTCATTCAACTGCTGCTGTTTCCATAATAGCAAAATTACGGGTGTTAAAATTTTAATATCATTTTTTGTACTTAATTTTCTTTCTCATAGCTTTTAGATTTTGAGGACACCAATTTACGATGAATCTGGCAATTTCAAAATATTCAGTTGCTAGATCAGTACCTACACTAATTTTAGGTACATTTATTGAAAATACACTGTTATGCAAGAATGTGACGTACATATTATTATTTTTAGTTGAACAATTTCATTAACATATTTTAATTTCAGAATTAAAGCTTAGGTAAATTTTATTTCAGTGTAAATACTTTTCAATATTGAAATTCTACAAGACTTCTTTATATTTTAAATTACTTATGTGTCAATCATATTACTAGTGAGAAGTAAAAGATAGTCAGTTCTAGTTTAAATTCGTGTCAATAAAATCTATGAGGAATTAATAAAAACGTTTATTTGTTTCTGTTACATGTAGTTACATATATAGTCAACTAGTAACAATGATAGGGATAATAAAATTTCAGTTATAAATAAATTTCGTCTTCGCTCTATCTATAATCTAAATAATAAATAAATTATGATCCTACACAGTAGTACTAGTATGGAATACTTTTAAGGGTCATTACACTTATCCTAATTAACATAAAGTGTATGTTCTAAAGCGAACAATCATAATTAATGAAAAGTCTCAGCAATATTGGCAAAATCACACTAATAACGTTTTTGTCCAGCGTCCGAAGTATCCATTCCTATATTCTTTCTCTTTCTTTGACAAATCCTTTTATAGAAACACATGTACGGGTCTATTTTCTACTGTCTTGATTTCTTAAAAATCTGAGTATCGCCTGACCAGGATTCTGTCCCCTTAACGCGTGTTGAGCAAACGTACCAGTAATTCTTTGCAGGACCGATTCAACTTCGTCGCTGTTTAATTCTTTCTTCGGTTTTGAGGTACTCGTGTCTTCTAACAGTTGCTTGAAGATTTCTTGCGATTCCCTTTCTTCTTCCTCACTAGACAGATTCCTTTCTGTTACTTCTGCGCTTATATCCTTGCTTAGCTGCTTCAGAACGTCTAATCCTTCTTCAGGATCATTCTCTCTCTTAGTGATGATCTTCGAGGGTAAAATAAGCTTTTCAGGCTTTGGTAAGGGCTCCGCCGGATCGGCGTTCCTTATCCTGACAGGTTTGTTCGTGTTTACGGTTTCCGCAAACTCGATATTTCTTTCAATGACGGGTTTTTTCGTTTTTACAGCATCCACGAATTCCACGTCGTCGGTGTTGGTTTTGTTTTGGTTGGGATCACTAAACTCTTTGTCTATCATACTGGGATCGGTTAAAACAGATGGCGTTGTTTCTTCGCCGCTACTATTATTCACTGTGTCTCTAGTTGACGACATATCCTTAGCCTCTGAGGAATCTTCTTTTTCGTTTTCAATGCTTGCGTCCTCATTGGTTGTTATAGAGGCGTGGCTGTTCTTTTTTGTTGTAGATTCCCTTTTTTCTTCACTCGACTCCTCCAGGCTCTCAGTGGACCTTGCACTCTCCTCCTCTTTGTCCGGAGTATTTGTGGTTGGCATTGCAATTGTTTCTGATTTCTTGTTGTAATTAGTTACTACTTCTGTTACAGTAGTACTAGCTTCCGTAGCTTCAGTCGTGGTCAACGTTTCAGTTGTTGTTTCTGGTACTGTAATGTTAGTATCTTTTGAGGCTTCCGTACTGTCGTCAGCATCAGTTGGGGCAGGTTGGTTAAGTAAATCATCAGGTAGGGTTGCTTCATAGTTGATCAAAGTCTGTGGATTTAACTTCAGCCATTCTCCATGCGTCATATTCGTTGGCACTGTTTTGTTGCTTCTTATTTCCAATATCTCTGGTAAAATCTTGAAATTAGGAGATATAGTTGAAGGCTCATAAGCTGGAAATTCTTTTTCAGTGTGATCCATGTCGAATCTTTGTGAGGTGTCATCGGTATTTATCGTCATTATGTCCGGTATGGGAGGGTATGCGGGATTTTGTTCTGGTATTATGTCGTAGGTTTTTGTGCTACTCGGAGCTGATTCTTTCGCTTCTGAAGCATGATCCACTTCAGCTGCAGGTGTTGCTTCTGTTATATTTTTTATTTCCTCAGTGGTAAGGGTGTCTAGAGCCTCTACGGTGGTTTCTGGTAGATCAGTGCTGTCGGGTGTACCATTGGTATCATTTGAAATCTCTTGACTAGAACTTGGAAGGGAACCATCCTGCGGAACATTGGTTTCTGTTGTGGAACTTGCAACTTCAAATTCTGTGGTGGAAGTTTCCGTTGTGGTGGTAGAGGGTGAGTTTTTGGTCGTAAATAAAGGCAAAATAGGGTAAGGAGCTGCTGTGTTTACTTCCGAGGCGCTAGCGTTGGAATCCAGACTTTGGTCAGGATTACCTAAGAAGCCATTACTTTCAGACAGCACTTCGACTTTTTCAACTAAAGTAGCGTTGGTGGTAAGATCGGTGTCTTCACTTTCCTTTGGAATGTTTACTTCGTGAACTTCCCCGCTGTCTTCAAAACCTCCCCGTTGCAGTCCCTCTGCTCCTATTATTGTTATCACGGAGCTAGGAGTGCTCGTATCTTTCTCTGGCACCAGTTCACCTTTCTTGAGGAACAACAGTTTGTCACCGATCCTCAGAATCGGCGGAGGATGTTGGAAAACTTCGGATATCTCGCTCGAGTCGGTGTCAACGTCTGTGACAACCAAATCGTTGGAGTGGTTGAGGAATTCTTCTGCTTCCTCTATAATTAAAGTTCCCTGCGGCTCAGGCTCCACTTTAGGAGGAGCAGTTATTGGAATTTCTTTGCGTTCCGGGATAATTTCTTGAATGGTTATTTTGGGAAGGAACGATTCTTTTTGAAGATCCTCCACTTCTGTTAATTTGAAGCTAGGTGTCGTTGCTTCATAATAGTTTGTGTCTGGGATTTTATTTTCGTCTTGGATGTCGAGGGATGTCGGGCTCAAGATCTCTTCTGTGGTGTTTAGGGAAACTTTTGTGGCAGACCAGGGTTCGAAGCTTTCCTTGTCTACATTCGAGGGGTTTATTTCCGTCGTGTATGGAGATCTGCCCGGAAGTGGATCTGAAAAGAAGTTGAAATGGTGAAAAATTGAAATTTTTAATACTTCAGTGTCAGGATTTGAAATTAGACACTGCGATTGGTTAATTTTAAAATTTCGACAAGGTGATTAGATACCTGAAGAATATGCCTGAATTCTTACAAATCTTTAATGTTACCAAAACAATTTATATTCATCAGTTCTGTTGGAATCAGTTCTATTTTGTATAAAATATGGTCAACATAGGACCAAAATTGTAAGTAATATCACATAGTGGGAACAAATTCGATTTTACTTTAAACTTCAGCAATGAGGTAAAAAATGAATTCGTCGTATGTCCAGGCTAGTGTTAGTATGAAAAGCTTATGGTAAACATCTATAGATATCGGTTATCATTGAATAGATCGTGCTTCATGAGATTCCATTTCATTTCCCCATAAATAAAAATTAGTTATGATATTCATATGGTTAAACAAAATATTTACCAATAACACTAGTAGAAATAACCAAAAAACGCGATAACAATCATATTTAATCAACAGGAAAGTGTAAACTGATAACAACTATTTAACTGCTGATCCGAACGCAATTTAGGAAACAGTAAAAACAACATAATGAATCTCGACTGAATGTCGTCCATAATGATAAATATAGATGGAGCTATGCTACTGATTCGCAAAATTCCATAAAAATTGTTTTTTTTTTAACATAACAAATTTACATTATATTTACCTATTGGGGGGCAGTGGTCGTATTTGGGGCAGCACTTTCCAGGTACTCGTTTTCCCTCGCAGTCTTTCCTTATGTAGCAGGAAACCTCAGCGCATTGCACCTCTCCACCCCTACAGTAACAGACCTTGCATTCTCCACCGGGTGGCGTTTCTAGTTTTTCACCGTTTGCGTAGAATTTTCCGTTGTGTTCGCATTCTGGAAAAGTACAAGTACGTTAATATTTATTAAAGTAAATGTTAGAATTTCTTGAATACTTAGAATAGTGCAGTGAAATACAATGTAAGTCTATACTGCAGCAACGTACGGACGGGCTGGTTTAGGGGGTTGGAATTTCCATGATAAGTTGTTGTCGTGTTTTTTCTTAAAAAATCGAGGGTAATATTTTCAGTATTAAGAAATTTAAAGTCGAAAAATTCTATGCATGTTACTGCAATGACAAAATGAAAATTAGCGATACTTATACAGGGTCAGCATTTTGACACTTTGAATTTTGTAAAGAGGTTTTTTATACAGTTTTTCGTGTGAAATATTACACACAACTTTTAGTTTTTCAGATGTAGCAATCTTATCTTTTTAAATGGAAAGTCTTATATATTTTTCGATTTTTCAATTTAAAATTGTTTGCGTGAAATTGGTGAAACGATGGTATTTGAAATTAGGAACAATCTGGTCTTGTTCAACAGTCAAGCATAATTTCTGCATGAGATAAAACAGAATGTAATTAGAAATGTTAATAAGAAAAATTTTTGTTTCTTACAAGAGTCATTTCATCCATTCGCGGACATGCTGAATATGATATTTATACGAAAATTTTTTTCAAGGCATAGACACCATTTTTTTAAATTCAGGTGTTTCTTGATACAATGAAGTAAAATCATGTAAGCTAAAATTAAGGTTTAAATTATGACTGCGCCAATCGCGTATAAGTTGGGGTAGAGCAAGTACCACCTCTTCCCCGTATGTACCTACGTCCCTGTATTACAAAAATTTCCTATATTACGCGGTTGCTTATTTTATTTATATATTCGGAAACAACTACCAAGACAAGGATAGTGTTCAATTACATGGCCATGCCAGTACAATACATATTAAAACCAGCTCTCATCGCCCAGTATTAGTCTTCAGGATAACAAAAATCTATGTCGGTATGTCAACAAACATAAAAATAGATTCTTATATAAATTAATCATTTTTTCCGGAGAAATATGATCAAAAAGACCAAAAAAATGGTTAAAAAATGGCCCGTTTTAGTCGCTCTAATTTTTTTAGACTTCATAATCTATTAACTCACAATCAGTCAGTACGTCAAAAATAAAAGAAGCTACTTTAAAAAAAAAACTTTTTTCCAGAGAGATATGGTCTAAAAACCAAAAAAGTGGTCAAAAATGTCTTACTAATACTCCTACCACTTTTGGACTTTAAGAATATGAAATTCGGATGCAGCATGTCCAAAATCGTAAAGGTTACAATTAGATTGGGGTATTTTCTATGGATAGATGATTTTAAGCTAGATACTGAAATATATTTTTTTAATTTCTAATTATAGTCGTCATTTTGTGGCCGCCATTTTGAATATCGAAATTTTCCCAAATATGGCCATCGTTTGTTCGAAAGTTCTTGAGTATACGAACATTTTGAGACCTTAAACGTATTTTTTCTTTGCTTTTACTTTTGGAGAGAACGGTGTCCCGATTGACATGGAACGTCCCCCCTATAAAGAGAAATGATTTAGTTTAATTTAAGAATATACCTACCTTTTTATATAATGAGTATCAGAACAAACATAAATTTGATAACGGTGATAATTCAAATATAACATTGATTGGTGCAAATTGGACATTTGTTCGTGATGTTTTCAAATAAAATAAAAACTTTCACAAGTTTGAATAGAAACTTAACAGAAAAATAAAGTCTTCTTTAAGATAAATTGGCTAATAGCTCGGAGTTAGAGGTTCCTAGTGGAGGATAAACATTATCAGATTTAAGAAACTGCCTGTGATTCTTTTCTAAACCATTTTAATAAATATCATAGCCCGGATTCCATACTACATTAGTATATTCCACTTTAGAGCGAACAAGAAAATAAAGGCAATATTATTATTATCATTGTTATTAATAAAAGTTTTTTAAAGTGTTCATCGAAAGTTCTTTAGAATCCAAGTGATTTATAAGCATAATAGTAATGTCATTAATGTAACTGATCAAAGTTAATTTTGAATCGAATGTAACATCTAAAGCTTTGATTTAGTCTTAATTTGCTAAAAATATTATATCAATAATTAATACAGACAAAATTGGTCGTTCAATAAATGACTTGCAAACATATTTTTTGAATTTTTTTGATATTATGGTAAGAAGTTAGGACCCCGTCTCTTTGTTAGAGTTAGATCATACTGCAAATCCAAACAGTTGTTGATGTTCTTTTTCTATATGCCTGAACAATTTTAGGTCGTCAGCATACATCAATGTATTCCTACTTATGTTCGGGCTGATGTCAATAAATTAAACAAGAACGGCCCTGACACCTAACGTTGAGGGACACCTGACGTCGTAATACTTCAACAGACGCGAATCCAAGGTACTGAACATACAATTTTCCATTAGTCTAGCAAGACTGTAGAAAATAGGTAAAATTTAATGTTAAGCCATAGAAAAACAACTTATCCAATAACAGATTGGTTAAACCTGTCAAAAGCTTTTGATATGAAATGACATAAATCTTATCTTTATTTCTGATATGTACTGATCAATAGATACTACTGTTGATCTATTTGTCGTGAGCCATGTTGATTCGGGGAAATTAGGGACTTTAAATTAAATGACATATACGGATTTATACGAGACAATTTCAAACAGTTTATTAAAGTTAGAAATTGCTACAAGCCTGTAATTCTCAATTTGGGTTTTGGGTTTTAAAAAAATGGATAAATTTTAGACTGTTTCTGTAGCGTAGGTCATATTAAAGACTAGAGATCTTAAACACAAATTGAAAATAAAAGCTCCACACACCAAATGTATATTAAATTGGTTTAGACATTATAAACAATTCAACAAAAGATAATTTTCGAAACCATAACCAGAAGGTAGGAGATAGGATCATGGTTTCTTAAGAAAAATTTGAATATTGTTTTCAGTTTTATATGCTGATTCACACTAGCACTCTGTATATTTACGATTGATTATCGGGTTTCTTTAGTGGTTGGTTAATTTTTCTCATTGCATAATTCAATTAATTGCTTACCGCACTGGTAGTCGGGACAGCACTTGTTAGGCTTATGGATGGCTTTGCACCCGGGTTTCTTCACGCACTGTATAGTCTCGCATTGCACTCCTGGCGGTTGGCATCTGCATTTCAAGCAGGGCTGCTCGGCAGGGACAGCCTCCTCTGCTCCATAAACTAGGTCTCCGACGATGCACACTGAGAGGAGGAATAAAAATTTTTAGTGCTCGTAAAATATGTTAGTACTAAACTTCTAGAATATTAAAATTCAAATTCGACCTTCGCAATCGTCAAATTTATTTAAAAACATTGATTTGATTTTTTTGGTCCACATTAATACTATTCTCTCTTAATTTAATACTATATTCTTCTGTGAACAAAGGAGTGTCTCTTAAAACCAAAAGAAATGAAATTGTATTTACTGAAATAAAGAAAAGAAATCTGCTAAGGAGAATTTAGATTTTACAATCAACTATATCAGTTATTTCCGGTTTCATCGTTCTAAAAGTTCATTTCCTTAAGAGGTAGATATTCTTATATTCGGTTCTCTGACCTCTTTGATGTCAAAAGTTATAAATTCTTAGGAAACAAATCTGCAAATTTACGAATTCCGAAACATTCTTTCTTAAATATCGGCTTTGATGTAAGGAACGTATTTCTTTAATATAATCTAAACTTTTCAAAAGAAATTGTTGAAAAGATTCAAAGAGCATTTACTTAAATTTCTGAAAATTTCTCTTAGCAAAGTTTAAAAACAATTTAAAACAGGTAAATACATACAGCAAGTCCCCTTTGTCGAAATAGTTCACTGTGTTTTTATAAATGTATTTTATAAAACTACACACAAATAAATTAGGCTAAAAATTCCACAGCTATCCTCGCAAGAAATTACATGATTTTAGGTGATTACACAAAAAATAGTAGATAACTTAAAAACTAGAAGAGAACCCTGATACCGTTCGAAAGAGAATAGAATTGTGTTTCAGAATATAGAAAAACATACAGGGTGTTCCGTTTAAAAAAAAACGACTTATGAAGGGTTGAAGTTAACTAAACTCGGCATTAAATTTCTAGCACCCTGTATGCAATTAAGCCACTTTGAAAGTGTGGGTAGTTTAGGGGTGTAGCTATCCCCCCCTATAAATATTGTTGCTTTATCTTTCTTACTATAAAATAGACATGGTTTGAAGCTAGTCACTGTTTCTCTCCATTTTTTTTTGAAAAAAATTAAATATCTCGAAAACTGTTAATTTTAGGAATAGGGAAACTTCATAAAAGTCCACCTAAAATAACACGTAGAATCCAAAATTGCAATAATATGTAGGGTCTTCCATTTAAAATAAGCAAGTTGATGGCGACTTCCGGTATAACCGGAAGTGGTACGTGGAGGCCATTATTTTAGTTGAGAAGGGCATGCCCGAAAACCCGGTATCCCAAATTTTCAAAATTCAAATCGAAATAATTCTAATGGGCCGTCACCGTGAGACACCCTGTATATAGTGTTACTGAATTCCAAAAAAAAGATGGATCCAGGACTCTGCAACACGAATTATGCCATGAAAATGACGTTTTTAATCTATTTTCTGTTTTTGAATGAAATTGGACCAGCTTGTCTTCAACTTGCTTCACTTTACGAGTGAAAAATCATAAGTCTAGTGAGCTGGTAGAATAATTTGATTTTTTATAACTTTCGTCGATCGTAAATTACGTTTTTTGTGAATTTTGACTTGTTTTTTGAAAACTCAGACCCGTTGGGCCAAATCTGAAGGCAGATTCGGATTCAGCGGAAAAAAATACAAGGAAATACATGGGTCTGAATACCAGATCCGATACTTTTTTTGTGGGGCTGTGTTATGAATGCTACAAGATTTTACCAAGAACACGAAAATCTCGAAAAAGGATTGAAGCATCAATAAAAAAAGTAATTGATTCCAGCGACCAAATAAAAATATAATTCTTGTACCAAGACACTCAAGAAAGTAGTTGCTTCATCAAAATATGAGTCTTATTTAGGGACAAGTCCACAGCAAGTTTCATTAAAATCCATCCAGATCTTACAAAAAACATATTTTCTTTCAAGAACTTTGACAATCAATAGCAGAGGTATCAGACATTTTTTCTTAATGAAAATTAGGTCAGATCGTCTTCTTTTGAGCCAAAGAATGTCACAGTACTTTTTTGATCATGTGCTTATGGGACACCCTGTATAGTTCACTCTGACGAAATATAAGAAAAAAGATTATTTTGAGATACAAAATGATAACGTTTTATTATAAGTATTTTCATTTTTATACACTATTTCTATATCGTGTACACATTTCTTGGTACATAAACCATATGCTGAAAGCTAGATAACAGAACACACATAAAAATGTCTATAATTATAGTTAACATTTAGAAAAATGAATCTCTTTTTATTATTAAAGTTTGTCGTCTTTTTTTTAATAAGGAAAATTTAAATTTGTTTTTTATTAACTAGTGGTATGACGTCAACATATGGCTTCCATGAAAAAAATTTATTTTATCTATGACTATTTAATAATAGACGCATTATAATTGTGATAGTAAGTACATAATGTAACTCATATTACACACCCGTGGAATATGAGTTTCATATTCCACAGGTGTGGAATATGAATTTTTATACGTATCCCTTATAGCTTCTGACCGCGCTACAAAATAGAATCGAGCTTGCTTGAATTATTGTTACTATGGTAACTAATGTAATTGATTTGACAACACTTCGCAAAATAAAACATTTTTGACTTTTGCAGTAATTTTGCAGTTTAATTCTGACAGTGAAAATGAAATTCGATGCACCCCTCCTGAAATTCGTGAAGCCGCGAAATTAGCATCATTGGAATTACTTCCAGAGAAATCACGAAAAAATTACACAATTGTATATAACAGCTTTATGGACTGGCGACTAAAAATTGGCACAAATTCGTTTTCCGAAGACACTTTGTTGGTATATTTCAAGGAATTGACAAAAAAATGTAAATCGTCTACATTGTGGAGCCATTATTCCATGCTTAAGAGCACACTTAACCTTAAACATAATTTGAATCTTACGCAAAAGTTCGAGTTTATTAAAAAGGCAGTCAGAAGGCTACCAACCCAAGAAATCAAAGGCATTTACTGGAGATGAAAAATACAAATTTATAACTGAAACACCGGATACTAAGTCATAGATAAAGTATAGTATTTGACTCGCGTATAATGGCTATATTACACTCGCCTACGGCTCGTGTAATATAGCCTACATTATACGCTCGTTAAATAATATACTATTTTTGCACATTAATTAAATATGAGCTTACTACCTGAGAATTTTTTTATGTGGAATATTGTAACACCCCGTATAATTTTGATTAATTATCGAAATATCTTTCGTTCTGATTTAGACATTTACAGAAATTCCAGGTTTCAATAACGGAAACGTTACAGTGGAGCTCATGCGCAAGAACTAAAATTCGGTCAGTAAATCTGCACATCAATTTCGGTACACTGCAGTCTACTTCAGCTGGAAAATAGCCTGAAAGTATTAAGACTTGACGTTTTAAAAGCATATCGGGCATTTTCTCGTTACGGTTCTAGGAGTGGAGTCGTAGGAGAAGCCAAATATTCATATCCTATTGCATAAGGGCTTACGGTAAAGTCTATTGTATGGGCACATGTACAGACATGAAAGCTGTGGATTATTATCATAGTCCTAGATAAATATAGGGGTCACGGGTTAAATCAGAAATTGCAGCCTCTATAGGCATGAAAATGGTTGAATGAATCCAGTTATAATTAGTTAAATAAACATTTTTTAATATAGGTAATGTGCTTGAAGATATACAGGAAGCACCTGAAAATATTTGTTGTTCCATGGCTTCCCTATTTAAATAATTGAATATTTGTCTTTTTTTCATTATTTATTTATTTTGTTTTAAGAATTATTTTTATTACTCTCTTCTTAGTTTGTAAACTTATCCTGTAATTGGGCATTGCCCATTGGATATTGTATCTAAATAAATAAAAAATAAATAAATTAATAAATTTTACTTTTTTATTTGAGAAAACGTCAATTTAGATATTGCAAAATTTAATTTTATCTTATTACGGAACATAATCTACGCATGTTTGTCGAAGAAACATTTAGTAAAGAATATACAGGGCGATTTACAACTTATCTAAAAAAATTTGGGAATAGATGCGGCATGAGAAATGGAGTCAATATTGTAAAAAAAATTGTAAAATCCTTATAGTTTCTGAGAAAAAAATTATTGAAGTTATAGCACATTAAACCACTACATAGCTGGACAACTGTAGTCTCTAGCGTCATTCGCATTACGCGTGGAGAGCCATGTGACTCCTAATACTGAAATCCGTCGTTGCGGTAGTTTTTACCTGTTATCTGTGTTATTTACATCAGTTTTTTAGTAGTTAGTGTCAAAAATGGCTTGCGTGTATAGCAACTCAGAGTTGATGGATATCGTTTTAATTTATGGTGATGCAAGACAACATTTGTATTATGGTGAAGTATTTGTGTTATGGTGAAGCAAGATATCATTTGTGTTAGTTCGTAGAAAGTGAGTAAGACGGACCCAAATGTGTTTACACGTGAGTGGATAAAATTTTGAACAATTGCTGTTGCAGCATCGGGTATGTCAAATGATTTTATTATTTAAAAACACAAATTAATTTTATTAATAATTAATAACGGCAAAAGCAGTTGAATTTGCCGATATAAAATAGGTGCGATAAAATTCTATTTACATATTTCTTTCCTTGCGAAAATTTTTGTGACGGTCGCATTGTGCTAGGTCAGGTTTTACACTGGACCAGTTTCCAGTGCCGTGCAGAAGTGTATTTTTAAATCAATTTCGAACTGACCTTTTTGATTTTTTCTTTACACAATTGTATTTGTAAGGGTCCCCTGTACATCCAGAATTTTTTTTTGGATAAGTTCTGAATCACCCTGTATATAAAGTCTCGGCAAAGTAGGGAAACATATTATTGTAACGAACTTGTAAAGTTGGGACAAGACAATAATTCTTCTAATAAATTAAATAACTGTGTTTGAGACAAATACGAAGAGGTAAAATAGAAAAAAATATTTCCTTATGTTGTCTATTTTTTTGTGCTTGGTCTGATTCTTCGCGATCAGTAACAGGCGCCTCTGTGTCTTGGATTCACGCTAGGCTGGGGATATTTCGTCTAATAAGAAATCCAGCGGGACGGTTTTATTGTGAAGGGAAGATATTGGGTCACAGAGTTTCATGAGATCTGGCGTCAAACTTTTTTAAGCTGTCTACGTTTCGCATCGGAGATGTTGATAAGTAGATGTATCTAATATTTTCTCTTTTAAAGATAATTAAGGAAATAAAGAAGCTTCCAGAAAAATAACAGTGTTCACTAAATGTAGCATACATGAAAAAATCACAAAAATTACTATATTTTTGTAGTGCGAAAAACTGTTACAAATGTAATCATGTATAAAATAATAACATTCCCTTGAATTTTCAACTTATATCTAAATTTGTAGAAAAAAGTAGTATACAGGGTCGTTCATATGTATGGAAACGGTCGATTAGCTCCTAAAGTAAGATAGCTATCGAAAAATCAAAAGGCACAAACGTTTTAGGTTTTTTTTTTGTAATCTATTACAATAAAGAAAAATTAAATATACAGGATCAGTTGAAAAGTCATGACGAAACAAAGTTGCTTCTTCTTTAACACCTTGTATATAATTCCATATTTCAATTCTTCTCGAAATTCTAAACAAAATTCATACAGTACAGGGTGATTCACTATATTCTGACCCCCCTATTAACTTCTTTGGTTTTACAGTTATAAAACAATGTGAAATACAAACGTTGCACGACTTTTTATGAAGTTTTCAAAATATAGTGAATACCCTTTACATCATGTACCTAAATTAACCGTTTTCGAGATATTGAACTTAATGTGTTTTTTTTACTACAAATTATAGATTATTATATTATAGATTATTTTGAAAATAACACAAGATGGAAGATATGGATATCATTTAATGTTATTATTAGTTTTTTTACAGAAAATAAAAAAGCATAATAGTTCAGGGTTGATAAAAATGTATGAAAGGAAAAAATGTAATTTTTTAATGAATGTCCTGGATATTTTAAATTCTATGAAATCAATAGTTATGCCAGAATAAAAAAGAGAGGAAGCAAGTTTTAATAAACAATTTTTTGGAATTTTATTTTATAAAGTGCTCAAAGTGTTCACCATTTACCCCCTGACAGTAATGAATTCGCTGAACAAAATCTTGTAGTGAATCTAAAACGGTGTTGGGAGGAATAATGGAAATTTAATGTCTTATCCTTTTCTGCAACTCTTCGATATTTTGCGGCCTATTTTTGTAGACTACATTTTTCATGTGACCCCACAGATAAAAGTCAAGCGGTGTCGTATCGGGAGACCTAGCTGACCATTCAATTGCCCCTCTGCGTCCAATCTACTTATCAGGAAAAGTCTCATCTAGATACCTACCTATGCCCGTACCACACGCCCAAATTGTGAAGCCCCATCATGTTGAAATCATCATCATTAAAACCTTAATACGCTCGGTTTCACTAAAACGTGCCAATTTTGCGAGAAAATTATTCACACTAAATGTATTTTTGACATTTGTTGTCAAGATAATCGCTATTAGACAAAAGAACGACACGGCGTTGTTATGAAGCTAGAAACACTCAAAGATAATTTGATGGACTATAAACTTAATGGACTAAAATATTTTCGTATAATTTGTAAGAAAATGATTTTCAAAGTTCAATATTTCAAAAACGGTTAGGTTTAGGTACATGATGTGCCATATGAATTTTGTTTAGAATTTCGAGAAGAATTGAAATATTGAATAATATACAGAGTGTTCACGACTCTTTCACTGATCCTGTATACTTAATTTTTCTTGATTGCAATGGATTTTAAAAAACCCTAAAACGTTTGTCTTATGATTTTTTTTCTATCTATCTTACTTTACGAGATAATCGACCGTTTCCATACATATCACGGACCCTGATATTGAATACAATTTATCATACCTCTGTTATTATTTAAAATTTCTTATAGAAATTTTTCAGATATATCATGATGGACATGACCTTGAGGATATTCCCAGTAAATTGGTACTTTTAGACCTTTACTGCTGATATGCTTTAGCTGGGTCGGATATGCAAACGTGTTATGTCAGCGTGGTATCATCCTAGTCATGAATAAATTTGTTCAGAACAAATGAAAACTGACCACGTCCTTCTCCTCGAGGAATAACACTTCCCGTATCTCGCAGCCGCTGAACGCACTGTAGGATTGTATTTGTACATGGGGGGTGACGTTGTGGCCATCGTTCTCGGTACAACCTAGTCGCCGCGAGCGCATTTTCTCCGGCTGCACCATACACTAACACCATATCGAAACGTTCGGAAATAGTAAATGCACTGTTTTCTCGGTTCATTGTAAAACTAGTTTGTGCACAAACTAAAAAATTAAGCAAAGTAAGAAATACGAATCTCGTTTTTAATGTAATCGGCACTATTCTTATTTTTTATTTCTTTATAAAACTTACACTTTCACTATCGTGGAATTACAAAATAAAATCTCTCACTTTTTAACACTGATGCGTCGATGGACGATGCTTAATATTTAATAATTAAGTGAATAATGAATTCAATACAAATACAAAATCAGTAGACAGCACAAATTTTTTGACAATGTAACCTTCTTTTAGTATTACTAGTATTAGATTATACCGACTTAAATTATAAGGTTGCATCTTGGGTGGCATAAAGACATTTCCAAAGTTTTTATTAAATAACACAGGGTCGGCTTTCATTTTCGTTGAATAAATGAACTTTAATTTACAAAAAAAAAACGCGAAGATAGAACTTATTCGTATAAGACTTTTTTATTACAAATATCATCAGGAAGCTGTAGTTTAATTATTATAGATTATACACGCCACACCATACAGTGTACAGTGTACATAATTCTTATTTGTCACGATTATTAGCTGTAAAATGTTAATGATAAGCCATAAAAAGTTACAATCATATTTCATAGTGCTTTTAAATAATAAAGCATTTCAAAAAAAATCTAGAAATTACAAATTATGGACATTTTCTATATAAAGATGTAGATATACATTTTTAATATGTATAATCTTGCATAATAAATTGGTAATTGATGCTGTATTTCTGTGGAAATTAACGATTTATTTTCCTTCTCATATAAATTTGCTACTACTGTGATTTATCACATTAACTGCTAAATACTTATTTATTTATAGCTGAATGTATTTTTCCCTCAGATTCGCATTTCCGCTTGATACTTCCAACTTACCCTGCGCCTGATTTCCTTCATTTTCCGGCTCTATTTCCGGGTACACTTCCCTCACCATTCGGCTGAGTCGTTTCGTAGGATCTGAAACACAAAAGTACGTTATGAGTCGGGTCAACAAAATCTGTGTTTTCATCGAACAAAGCCAATAAAAATACGAAGATGTTTACCGGAGCTGTTCCGATATTACATGCCGGACACGTATTGTTGGTGTATTTTATTGACAGAATCGAATTTAGAGCGCAAGTGGTGCCCTCGAAGTAATAAAATTTAATGAAACGCGATCGATTTGCTATCCAGTTTTCCGTAGCGGGACAAATCTTTTAAATTATATTTAACATGTGGGATGTTTCTGAAATATGGCGCCCAACTGAATTAGGAAATGAGAAGCGGAAAAAAATCCTATGGAATTGAGTCCAAAATACCTGCTAAAAAAGTTATAGGGCGATAATGGTGCATCGCCAGAATCACACTTTTTTAAATAACTCTTAAATGGCTGGTCAAATACAAATGATGATAAATAGGATTCACTGGTTTTTCTTACATCGATATGTTTCTGAAAGAGATATTTTTGAAACATTTTATACAGGGTGATTTTCATTTGTTTTTATACAATTTTTAAGAATTTGAAATCAGAGACATGTTCCAAGTTCAAAAGTAGCATATTTGTCAGTGTCATTTTATGTTGCAATACTTTAACATTGATTACACGTTTGTACGATCAATGTGTTACAAAATGCTAAGAACGCAAATAAAGTTTTAATTTTTTAATAATAATTGGTCTTTTCATTTTGGAAAATCGACGCACAGGAGACCACTACTTCAATTTTTTCCAAAATGAATTACAAGTGCAGAGGATGTTCTTATAAACATGAAAATGCGAATGTACTATCAGCACGATAGAGCTCCTGCACATTTTGCTCGTCCAGTCAAGCTATATTTGAAGGAGAGGTTTCCAGGGTGTTGCATTGACCGCTGTGGTCCTATTAGTGGGCCTACAAGATCTCCAGACCTCAGAGCACAAGATTACTGTTTATTGGGCTGGTCCGAAAATTAAGTGTAAAACGTTAGAGTGAACACGCGGGTGGCACTAATTCAACGTATCATCAATACTCAGTTTATTAAATGAATTTGGTGTGTCCGAATCACTTTTGCAACTTTTCCAATCGTATTTACAAAATAGGTATCAATTTGTTCAGCATCGTGGTTTTAAATCACACAAGTTTCATCAAATATCTGGTGAGCTTCAAGGATCTATACTTGGACCCTTACTCTTTGTTCTTTTTGTAAACGATATCATGGTTGATTTACATCTACACCATTTAATGTATGCAGATGTCAATAAACACCATTGCCGACTGCTATATGTGCTTAATGTCATTAGTCTGTGGTGTCTAAATAATAATTTAATGCTAAATGCCTCCAAGTGTAATATTCATTCACCCAAAATAAAAATTCTGTACTATTCGATTATAAATTGGATAATATAATATTGCATAGACCCGATTACATAAAAGACATTGGAGTTACATTTGACCTTACATTATCCTTTACAAAACATATAGACATAATTGCGTCGTCTGCTTTCAAGAATATGGGGTTCATAATAAGGAATTCCAAATGCTTTATCAGTATTTCTATACTACGATTGTTCTTCATCCGTTCTAAATTAGAATATGCATCAATAGTCTGGAACCCAGTTTATGCTAATCAAATTGCAACTTTGGAAAGAGTACAGCGTAGATTTATGTGTACTGTGTACTTATTGGATGGTACATATCCCCCTCAGGGTTTATACCACGACATTTTTAGTCTACCCGCAGCACGTAGTAACATTCTATAGTAGGATCATATTCGACGCAAAGTCATCATAATCATTGCCTGTCAAGGGATCCAGTGCCATACGCTTTTAAGGGTTTTAGAAATTGAATAATTTCTTTATACATTATGAAGTGCCGAAGGGATCAGTTCACGTCTGGCGCCCTTGTTCCTACAAAAATTCCTTTATTCTCATAAACTATTTATTTTAAATGTAATTTATTATAAATCCAATTTGTTTTTTAATTTCCACATATGTACTACATTTTACCTCTGTACGCACCACTGTTGTTTATTTGTTTTTTGGAGGCGCTCTCTGTTTTACGATTAAGCTCGCCAGGTTAGTATTTGACGTATAACCGACCACTTCGATGCACCTGGGCGACTACAGCTACTACCAGAACACAGTGCGTATGCAGCGGTATTTCAGATTTAACATTGAATTTTATTTTAAATTTGAAATGGTTTATCTTACGCCTCCTAAAAATGATGACACGATTTTCCTTTGATAAAAGACCGACAACTTTTTGCTCTATTTTGCATCGAATACGATCCTACTATAGTAGCATCACCATTATATCTGATCTAAATTGTTTGCAAGTACAGTGAGATAGAAAATAATGTCTTTCTTTTTTGTTGTTTGGCTAATGATATAAAAAATGCTTTACTTATGTAGTCATATCAGTTTTTTATAGTTTGTTGCCTTTTTATTTTGTTCTTTATATTTGTGTTATTTGTAAGTTTGTACTATTTTTATTCTTTTTTCTCTATTTTTTCATAGTTAATTTTTCTCTCTTTTAACTTTTTTATATTTTATTATTAGACTTAACATATCCTGTTATTGGGCAGCGCCTATTGGATATGTGTTTTAAATAAATAAATAAATAAATACTGCAGCACTTGTTAAAGAAAAACACGCAGCAACTTGGACAGCTACAGACGCCCTTCGTAGACGAAGCAGAAAGTGTTTAGAGGTGATTGGAGGTGATTTTTAATCAAATAACACTATGATTAATACAATATCAATAAATTATTATTTTTTATTGAAATGTCATAGCTTGAAAACAAGTGACAACCGCATAACAATATTTGAGTTTTTTTGTTATTCCTATATTCTCCCATCTCACCCTGTATAATAAGTTTACAAAGTTGCCATGACCTGTTAGGTACAATTTTTTCTCGAATGCCTCATATTTAGCGAGTTTGAAAAAAAACAGGAATTTTTAAAATGAATGACATTTTCTCATAACTACAAATAAAAAAGGTTTCCAGGACACAATCACGGGAGATACTACATATTTAAAGTAAAATGTTTCCCGACAACGCTGGTGTTATAAAATTGAATTGGTTCGGAAAGAAAGTAGAAAGAAAAATATTTGATTTTATTTAGCAGACGTAGCGATGCTGACTGGCACATTGGGAGGTGGGCGTGTATAATCTTTTTTTTATGGCTACTTAAGATAATAACATGATTTCTGAACCCAGGGAAAACTGCTCGAAATGTTTCCTATTAACTGCCTTTAGAATAGAGCACTAGATATCGATTCGATAAAATATCCATTGTGGCATAGAAACAGAACCCGACGTTGCTTTAGAAACCAAATTTCGCAATTTGAAACGTTCAAAATACTTTCTAAAAAACAATATTTATATTATTGATAGATATAGATATTTTCTCACAATCTTACACATTTTTTTTTATATAAAAAGTGACCTACTTCTTTTTTTTTTCGATATGGTTTATAGAATTTATTCAAACACATTTTAATATCATCAAATTAGTTTGTTGTGCTTCTTTTGCCTATACGCATAATCAAAATTGACTATTTCTTAGTTACAAAATTTTTTTCTGGTTGTTTTGTAACATTTCACTTGATAATCTTCATCAACAACAGCGAATAAGTTCGCTCTGAGGACCTAAAGCAGACAGTTCATATTTACGTTGGCAATAATATCATTAATGAATAAATTAAAGAGCAAGAGTCCCAAAACGGAACCTTGAGGAACACCAGATGTTGCATCAAATTTAACATGGTGATCTACATATAAACACTTATCGTTAATATATGATGTTAACATATTATTTATTGTTTATTGGCTAATTGAAAGTAGACTGTATTACTTCTTTTATTATTATATTGACATGATATTGTGCATCTGCACTCTTAGAAGGTAAGTTACAGACTGAGCTAGACTGTCACCTGCTCTGCTTTTTGTCATTACATTGGTAATACTAGAGGGTGTTGTTTTTTGTCAATCATTTGTTATAATGGGGGAAAAACCTTACGAATTAAGTTTATTTAATATAATACGATAGTTAACCTTTATAAAAATTGTGATGCTAATTTTTAAGCACATGTTAAAAATAACTGTAAGTAAAAACGCAGACATTAACTATAAAAGATGGTCATGGTAACTATAAAAGATCGTCAGAGCCTTTAAAGAATATAAGCTTCAACCTCTCGATGTCCGTAAAATATGGCTTTTAGAGAAAGGGGAAATCTGTATAAATTCTGAACATTCTGTGAGTCATATGAACTAGGAAGCTAATAAACACTTTCCAACAGCAAAGCAAAAGCATCCATAACATCTTGTAGATCATTATTTCTTCAGCATGTTAAGTCATAGACTGAAATATCAAAGAGCTTAGTCTACAGCAACTAACTTGAGACAAAAACTTGTTTGGATTGGATTTTAAGGTAATTTTTCAAGTGTCAATAAATAGTTGTGTTTATATTAGCAATTCCTAATACATAGTTTCTAAAATGAGGAAATTCATTTAATAACTTACTTAACATCAGCTGTACTAACAAGAAATATTAAATTCCTCAGACTATTACAAATACATTAAATAATATTTTTTTAAACAATTAATTACATCTCGCTTTCCCTTTGGTGAATTATTAAGATGCTAATAAGGTTAAAATTTAATTGTTCTTTAGCTTTGGAAATTTGCTTCCTGTTCATAGATTTAAAATGTTTGCAAATAGTTCTGTTGTTTACTGTGGGATAATTTTTACATGCGTCAAAGAAGGAATATAATTGATGACGATATATCGAAGTTTATCATTGAACGCAAATAACAGAATACTGTAGATTGGTATCTCAGTGCTTAAAACTAAACATAAGCGGCGCTCCAAGCGGTTGCGCCGAGAACTATTTCTTAAAAGCGGAAAGTTTAAAACATTAAGTTACAAATAGAATTGAAAACCCTCAGCTTAGAGTTATATTTCCGTTCTTTATCATTCAAGCTGATAGTATAAGAT